CACGAAACGGAGACGACCCGTATACGTCTCTGATATGGTGATTCAGCTATCTCGAGCTCCCAACGAGGAGGTTACCCAAGCCAGCCCACCTTGCATATGCGCTCCCTAGCGCCGTCCTGTAGGGCCCCTAAGGCCTGATGAAGAGCCCTCAGTTCTGGAGGCTCCTCAAGGTCGCCCTCTGAGACGGCCGATTCGGATGTATTAGAACCTAGCCAGGGAGCAACCGTCTTGAGGTACCCACCTCGCGAGCCTACCCATGGCGCTCTCGAATTTTCGACTAGCTTTTTCGATGAGCCTTTCCATTCGACCGATCAGCACCATACATTGACGAATATAGATAGTGTTCCTGATGGCAGCCTTCGACCATTCGTCTGTCTTCCTAACATGGATAGCGAGAGGACAGTAGCCTCAGCCAGAAGTTTTACTTGACGGGGTCAGTGGCTAGTCGGGTGGCAGCGATCTCTAGCTCAGTGACCGAGGGGAGGACCTGCTGTGTGAGGCCGAAGAAGAGCTCCTCATCTTGCAATAGTATCTTCACCAGGCCCTACACAGACGAACCCCATGGGAGAGTGAGGTCGAGGGCAGGACTAGCTCACCTGTCTCTCTTGGATGGCTCCAGCATCACAAAGAGGTTGTGTGAGAGACTGTCTGAGGAGTCGTCGGCCGCCCGAAGTAGCACAAGAAAAGAGTTGCTGAACATACAGTAGGGTCTCCCTACTCCTCCCCTTAGAGTCTGACCTAGGGGAGTAGTTGGCGTAGGGAACAACCTAGCAAGGGCAGTGGATATACGATAGGACAATTGTTCGAGATGCTCTACCAACATGAGGGCCCGGATGGTGTGGGAATCCAATGAGAGGACGTTCTGGCTTTCCATGGCGGTGACCATCAAGGAGTCCATCCGCAGTCTGTATTCAGTGCTACCGTTGATGTACGCCACAAGAGCACCCAAGGAGGCGACCGACACATGGTAGGAACTGAAGGGGACAACAGCTAGCCGCTGGTAGGCTTGCATTGCAGAGAGGACCTTGGATCTATCTTGATGCAGTGGATACTCGACGGCTTTCTCGAGGATCTCCCGACCGGACACCTCACAAAAGCATTTTCTCTGTACTGCTACTATGTCACCGTAGCCTTCCGC